CCAACACTCCAGAGGCAGACAGAGCCAAATGAATCTCTGAATTTGAGGACAGCCTGATTTATGTATCGAGTTCCAGGCCACCCAGGGCTACATAGGGGCACTCTGTCTGAAAAAAAAAACAAAAAAGGAAGAAAAAACATGGCCTTTAGCCAGGAGTGGAAAGGACAATATGACTGTAATCCCTCTGGAGGCTGAGGCAGGAGGATTGCCAGTTCAAAGCCAGCCTGCTCTACACAGTGAGACCCTGTCTCAAAAAACATACACATACACACATACACAGAGGATGAGAGAGAGAGAGAGAGAGAGAGAGAGAGAGAGAGAGAGAGAGACCCTGCTTTGTGGTGCACATCGGCAATCCCAGATCCTACCACCCAGGAGGTGGAGGCAGGAGGATCAGGAGTTCAAGGTTGATGGGGTAGCGGAGATAACCAGAATCATTCCTATGTATTTGGACCAGTACTAAGTGCCTGTGAGCCCTAGCCAAGTCCTTCTCCCTTTCTGACCTTAGCTGCCTTTTGGACGGAGTAGATGTGGCACCAACATTCTCAAGGGCTGAAAAGCAACAGCTGAGGATCAAACTTATCCCCTTGTTGCTAAGCAAGAGTTCTACCTCTGCCAGGTGTGGTGGTACCAGCCTGTAATCACAGCACCAGGAAGACAGGGCAGGTGGCTCTCTATGAGTGTGAGACCAGCCAGGGTTACATATTGAGACCCTGTCTGAAAGTAAAAAATAAAAAGAGTTCTATCTCCCTACCTTCTCTCCCTCCACACTTCCAGTTCCTAGCCCCCAAACACTCATCCAGCATCTAGCTAGCTGTTGATCGATGGGTCTCATGTAATCCAGGCTGGCTTCAAACTCACTAGATAATGGAGGATGACGTTGAACTTCTGATCCCCCTGCCTCTACCTCCCAAGTGTTAGGCTTACAGGACTGTACTACCATGCCCAAATTAGGCAGAGCAGGGTTGGAACCCAGGGCTTCATGCATGCTAGGCTACCAACTGAGCTATAGCTCCAGTCCATCTTTTATTACTAAAGAAATGCATGCTTGTGCCCTCTGTCCTCACTAGAATGGGGCAGGGATTCTCTGTTTTGTTCCCTGCTGTGCCCTCAGAGCCTCGCTGGACACTGGAGATGAACAAAGTCAACCTGGACTCTGTTCTGTCAGAACTCAAAGGAACAGGGACCTACAGAAACAGATACACAAAGCAAACACATCCCATGCTTCCCACCGTGGACACAGGTGCGGGACTGACCCTAAGGCCTTGTAGTAGCAATAGGCTCTTTTAGGCCTCCATTTACCCATTCATAAAGTGGGCATATTTGTTGGGCTTACCAAGAAATAATAGAAAAAAATGGGTAAAAGATATGCACAGGCAATTCGCATAAGAGGAAATATGAAGGCCAATAATCACACAAAGTATGTGTCAAAGCAGAGAAATAGGCAGGCTCACTATTAGCAGTGTCAGGCCTCCCTAAGATTGTCAAAAAGGAATCCAGGTATGGTGGTGCACACCTTTAATCCCAGCACTTGGGAGGAGGGGGCAGGCAGATCTCTTGTTAGTTTGAGGCCAGCCTGATCTCCATAGTGAATCTAGGCCAGTTGTGGCTACAGGGAGACCCTGTATCAAAAAGAACACCCCCAAACAAAAAGGTTGTCAAAATGGGGGCTGGAGAGATGGTTCAGTGGTTGAGAGCACATACTGTTCTTTCAGAGTACCTGAGTTCAATTCCTAGCACCCATGTTGGGCAGCTTACAACTGCCTGTAACTCCAGTTCTGGGGGATCTGGTGCCCTCATCTGGCTCAGATAGCACTTGTATACATGTGCACATACCCAAACACATACATTTTTTAAAAGGTGGTCAAAATGTACATGACGTGGTGGTCCATGCCTGTGATCCCAAACTCCAGAGGCCGCGAGAGGAAGGAGGATCTTGAGCTTGAGGTCAACGTGGACTATGTAACACGTTCATGGCCAGCTTGGGCTACATAGGGCCATCCTATCTCAAGAAAGCAAATTTATTTATGACATCTGTTCTTGGAAAAAAAAGGGGGGGTAGACAAATGGCCATATCAGAAATTGCTACTAAGCTAGATCTAGTAGCACAAGCCTATAATCCTAGTTACATGGGAGGCTGAGACAGGAGGGTGGTAAGTTCAAGTCCTTCTTAGGCTACAGAATGAATTCAGACTTGGGGACTTAGTGAAACCTTGTCTCTTCATAAGAAGAAAAAAAGAAGACTGGGGTATAGCTTAGTGGTAGAGCACCTGCCTAGAATCCCCCAGTGAGGGGCTGGGGTGTGGCTCAGTGGTAGAGCACCTGCCTAGAATCCCCCAGTGAGGGGCTGGGGACGTGGCTCAGTGGTAGAGCAGCTGCCTAGAATCCCCCTGTGAGGGGCTGGGGCGTGGCTCAGTGGCAGAACTTGTCTAGAATCACCAGTCTAGAACCTGGGGTGTGACTGAGTGGTATATCACTTGCCTAGTCCATAGAAGGCCCTGAGTTCAAATCTCCAAGACTCAAAAAATGCATGGGATGGGGCTGGAGAGATGGCTTAGCGGTTAAGAACACCGAGTATTCTTGCAGAAGACCCAGTTCGAATCCCAGCACCCACATGGCAGCTAACAACTCTCCGTAACTCCAGTTCCAGGGGATCCAACAGCTTCTTCTGTGTTCGCGGGCATTGCATGACACAGGTGCACTTAACTACATGCAGGCAATACACGCATGCACATAAAATAAAATGCATATAATATTTCATGGTGAGGTATCCCCATAATCTAACCATATTGTTAGTGCTTTTTTTTTTTTATTTCTGTTACAAACTTAGCTACCGTAATGGCCTCCATTTCCCTTTGTGCATATATGTGTGTGTGTTTCTAGGCAGGATGATACATTGCTTGGTCATTAGACTATGCTCATTAAAACTTTGAACTGACACCATCAACAATGCCACAAATGGCATTTCCTCTGAGCTCCTTAAGCAAGTGCTGTACCACTGAGCTACACTCTAAGCTCCCTTGACACTGCTAATGGCCCCAATGCAACTACTAATGGTACACAGTGATATCTGTTATCTAAATATGGATGGAATGGACAAAGTCTTATCTGAATACAAATGAGCGAAACTGACACAGAGAAAGTAGAAAAGCTAAAAATCACAGTAACCATCAAAGAAATTCAATCCTTAATTTGAATCCTCCAGGAAAGGAAAAATCCAGGCACAAATAACTTCTAAAGACATATGGCCACAGTTGGAGAGATGGTCTGTTGTTAAGGGCACTGGCTGCTCTTGCAGAGGACCCAGGTTTGATTCCCAGCAACCATTTGGTGGCTCACAACCACCTCTAACTCCAGTTCCAGGGGATTTGATGGCCACTTCTGGCCTCCATAGATACTACATCCACATGGCATACTTACATACACACAGGCAAAACATTCGTACATAAAAAATTAGTTTAAAGCGCAAGCAATTTTACCGTTGAACCATCTCTCCAGCTTTATTGTGTTGTAATTATTTTAGATTAGGTCTCAGCTCGTCATGTACATAGGATGACCTTGAACATCTGACCCTCCTTTCACCTCTCAAATGCTGTTTTTTGTGACATAGTCTATGCAGCATAGGCTAGCATCAAGCGTGCAGCAATCCGATCATCTCAGTCTCCCAAGTCCTGGGATTACAGGTGTGCACCAAACTCAACTGAGCTTGATGACTCATTTCTGTTTGGGTTTGTGTGTGTGTATGTGTGTTACATGTGTGTATATGTACATGTGTACATATGTACATATACACACAGGGGTGCCTGTGCTTGTATTTGTATGGGTCCACATATATGTAGCAGCCAGAGGTTGATATGGGTATCGTCCTCAATTGCTTTCCACCTTTTCTAAGGCAGGATCTCACTATGTAGCCCTGGCTGGCCTGGAACTCTCTATGTAGACCAGGATGGCCTCAAATTTTCAGAGATCTGCCTGCCTCTGCCTCAAGTGCTGGGACTAAAGGCATGCACCACCACACCTGGCCCTCCATCATGGGGTCTTTATCTCAACCTGGAGCTCACCAGTTACGCTGGACTGGCTGTCCAGTGAGCTCCAAGGACACACCCACCTCTGCCTCGTTTTGGGATTCTAGGTTGATGCCACCATGCCTAGCTCCTATATGTGTGTTAGTGATTCAAACTCAGGTCTTCATACTTGCATGGCAAGTAACCCCCCAGCCCCAATCTTGATGGCTTTTAAATTTTTACTTATTTTGTGTGTTCATGGGGATACGTGTGCTATGGCAAACCTCTGGCACTGGTCCTTGCCCTCCCTCTTGTTTAAGACAGTCTTATTTGCTCCTGCATATGCCAGGCTAGCAGCCCTGTGTTTCCATGGATTCTCCTGTCTCTACCACATTTCTCCATAGGAGCCCTGGCTCCTACCATACCTGGCTTTGCATGGGTTCTGGGCATCCGAACTCAGGTCCTCATGCTTATGCAGAAAGCGCCTGACCCAATTATCTCCCCAGTCCTGATTTTTTAAAATTCATTTTTATTTTATGTGTATGAGTATATTGCCTGCATGTATGTAAGTACACCCATCCATGCAATCTCTGAAGAGCCAGAGAGGATGTCAGATCCCCTGGAAACTAGAGTTACAGATGGCTGTTAGCCACCATGTGGGTGCTAGGAATTGAACCTGGGTCCTCTGCAAGAGTAGCCAGTATCCTTAACATCCAGCCCCCCTCATCTTGATGACTTCTGACAGAAGAGGTGGGCTGCCCACTTCCCTGTCCTGTTCCATTTTTATAAAGCCATAGTAATGTTCAACTATAACTGAAAGGTTAGTCATTGAGGTAAAAGAGCCAGTGGTTATAAGTTGCCTCTAAAGTCAGCCCTGGACCTGTCACTTGGCTCTGCACACTACCAGATCCACAGCAAAGAGACAGTGCTCCATAGATGCTGGTCCAAAGAAAGAGATCCATGCCCCCCATTTTAACATAGAACAAAGAGTCAGACTATGTAACATTGTGCATTTATTTACAAAGAGATTAGAGAAACACAGAATCTGGCTCCCCTGTGCACGGGGGAGTCACCATCGTCATAATAAATATAGTAACTAAAAAAAAAACCCAAAAAACAACAAACAAAAAAACCCCACTGGATTGGAACAGCTGAGGGCCATTTGGCCTCCCCCACTCCCCATGGGGAGAGGCACGAGGTTGAAACCATCTTTCTTCTGCTCTTTGACCTCCCAGTCCTCCATAAGTGTCCAGGGAAGGGGAGGAAAGAGTCCTTTCCAGATGTTGGCAACTCCTACTTGACCCTCAAAACCCCTACATCAGTGCTCTTTCCTTTTCCAGGGCACTCTGCAGGTACTACCTGAGTCAGATCCAGAGTCTCTGACCCAGGGATGCCAAGGGGATATCCTAAGGGTCCAGGGATATGGAGGGGGCACTTTGTGAATGAGAAGGGCACCGAAAAGAAAAATGAAAAGGCTCTGTGAGAGAAGTGAAGAGGGTACAGACTAGGCTTCTAAACTAAAATGGGAGGGGGCTTTCAAACGGAATTACAACTTTTGCATACATGGACACCCATTGTACAGATGAGGAAAGTGAGACCCACAGAGGGGAACTTTCTTGTTCAAGGCCTTTAAAGTCACCTGAACTGGGACAATATGAATGCCTCCCTGTGAGGGGGGGGGTAAGGGAGGAGGAGCCTTTCCAACCAGGACTGCTTATGGGTGGCTAGGGTGGGGAGTGAGGATGGTCTTTGGAAGCAGAGAAAACTGGTGGTCTTTGGAAGGTGGGTGTGGAAGGGGTCGATGATCAGAAGTGTGGAGGCGCAGAGGCCATGAAGGCGGAGTCCAAGCCGATCCCTCCCCAAACTCACACAGTTGTCATGACCTTGAGCGAACCCGATCGGAAACGCAGGATCTTTTTCTTCAGCGCGTGGGAGGCTTTGATCTTCACGAAAACCTTGGCGGGACCCGCGGGGGTCCCTCCACCTGCACCAGCCCCGGGGGAGGAGGAGGCTGCGGTGGCCGCCACCAGCTGCTGCGGCCACACCAGGCCGCCACTGCCATCCGAGTCGCTGGAGGCCGAGCTGAAGGCAGGAGACTCGCCCTCGCTGGCGCTCGATTCACTCTCTCCGTAGCCGCCCACCAGGCCACCGGGGGCCACGCGGCGGCCCAGAGGCCCCGGGCGCCCGGCTGAACACTCGGAGTCGCTGCCCGCGCAGCCGTACAGAAGCCTGCGCTGCGGGGCGGAGGGGGAAGGCCCTGGGCCGCGGCTCGCAGGCGCGCGGGGACGGCCTCTGCGCCCGTCCGCGGCGTCGATCTCGGCCGTGGAGCGCCACCGACGGCAGGCGCCGGC